TTTTTTCCTCCTTAGAAACAGATTCTGTGCATGCAGCTTCTTATACATAGATCCAGTGCATGTCCTTTGAGAGAATGGAATATTCCTGTAAGCCTCTCTTTCTGTTTTTATAGGAATGATGTATTTAAAATTCACTGGTTGATGGCAGCCCTTCCGTTCACCAAGTCTCTTTCCCTGGTGTTTCATGCAGTACGTATGAACATTTTTTGAGGGGGTCATTTATGGAATTGTGTACCATGCTTATGTGAACAGGAAGAGTAGGTGAGAAAAAGGGGGGATAGACTGATGGGAAACAGAAGATGAACGAATACTCACGAAGCCTTCTTTTGTCTGGGGAATGGGTGGGGATAGAAGAGAAATGATCCCAACATCCGCCAGCACTGGTTAAAGATGACACTTTTTTTTTTTTTTTCCTGAAATTACCTCACAAACACAGAATTTTCCTAGAACACGTGTTTTGAGATTAGAGTGCCACTTGCTGAATTGTTTCTAGTACTCACTTTAACTTTTCAAAAATTCCCCTCTGTTCCCATTGACATGGAGTTCAACGTTACCCCACTTATTTGAGAGCAAACTGTTGCTTTTGAGATTGAGGCATAAGAATGGAGAATAAGCTGTACGAGCCCCCAATAAAATGACGTATAAAAAAAGAATAGTGGAGAGTCATCACTCCTTGGCTTTTGGTTAAGATCAAGTGAAGAATCGAGCTTAAGTTTTGAATACATAAAACTGATGCAGGTGAAACTGAGCTTGCCTTGGTAAAGAAGATACAGCTTCCCCAATTTGTGGACCTACCTGGTCCCCATGTGAGGGGCCAGTCTGAACATGTGCTCCCTTACCTGCCCTTGAAATGTCCAAGGAAAAAGCAGTCATATTTCCAGTTACAGTGTCTAGAAATGACAGTGCTTGCATCATTTCCCATTTGGATCCAAGTGAAAAGATTCCTCTCTGGAACCATGTAGCTAATGGATGAAAGAAAGGATCTTTGACTGACTGGTGTCTAGACCGTCATTTGTGATCGTTGTCACAATATTGGGGTCTTCTGGGAAACCTTGTGGTTATACTACTACTGAAACATGCCACTAAAGTCAAAATGCGTTGGTGGCTTCCAGTAGGTTTAAAGTTAGAGTGTTTTTTTTTGTATGGGAGTGGGGGTGGGGTTTGAAGTTGCATGGTCCCCATAGACTTTTTACTTGCTGACCAACTTATGTAAGTTAGTATGTATGTTAGTAGTATGTATGTAAGCAGCAGTGGCTGAACGATAGCATGCTTGAGTGATTTGGATCATCGAGATGTTTAAGGAAAGAATAGGCAGCTATTTGCAAAAGGAATTCACAGAGTTCTGGTGAGGGACCTGGGCTGGGTACTAGTGACCACGAACCTTTTGTCAAGTCAGTCAAGCTACTGGTGTCTTGTTAGTGCACTAGGGTACTTCACTGTGGATGGATACGTGAGGTATTAGGGAGTGGGCAGAGGGTGAACATCCCAGCCCCTGTCTTAACGATCGTCTGCTATGATTTGCTATTTCCCTGTGTGCTAAAGCATAGGATAGACTGCCATTTCTGAAATGCAGGTGTTTGATTTCAGATCGACTACCACTACATCTCCTCCCAGGGCTTTCCGATCGAAGGTTGGGCTGTTGTGTACTACATCACTCACCTGTGAGTATACAAGATGATGCATGAATACTTACCTGGCAGGGGAGATACCATGATCATGAAGGTGGTTTTCCCAGGGCGAGGCTTATCCTTTGCACTCTGGATGTGCTGACCCCTGCAATTTCCCCAAATGTGGGGAACTTGACTGCATACTTTGTGGTAGTGGGGCACTGCATTCGCACTCTCCCCTGATTTAAAAAAGAAGAAAAAGATAATGCATGAAATACTCAGGGCCTACAGGGAAAGTTGGGGAAACTGGTGGGGAAGGACAAGGTTCATGGAGCCTCACCCCCACGTGGTAGCCCATCTGGGTGTCTGCCATGCTGCAGCTGTGTGACACACAGGCGGCTGTCCACACTAGAGAACCTGGGACTGCTGGCATTATCCCAGTAGTGCTGCCGGCCTACTGTTTGCCTGAAATGGCCGGCTGCGTAGGTAGCAGGGTGCATAGCTAACTACCTGCGTGGCTGGCAGGAAAGAATGTGTTGCTCCGTTAGGAGACTTTCCAGAATGTGGCCACTTATCTTTTACAAGGAGCAGGCGAAGTCCTAGAATAACCGCTGTCATCTAAATTGCTGAGTGAGAGCCTGGGGAGACCCATTGCTACCTGTTCCCTTTCTTCTTTTCCAGTCTGAAAGGCGCACTGCTGTTCATCACCATTGCACTCATTGGCACAGGCTGGGCTTTCATTAAGCACATCCTTTCTGATAAAGACAAGAAGATCTTCATGATTGTCATCCCACTTCAGGTAAAGGAGTCCTCGTTCTGTTTGCCTGATTTCTCTTTCAGCACCCACCAGGGCTCAGCTTCAGGCCTCTAGGAAAAAGTCCGTTTACCAATTCCAGAAATCCAGCTTATATTATTTAGGATGGAAGATAGATAC